ATTTCATCTGCTGTGCTGCCCATGGATTCTAATAATGTGATATCTTGATTTGTTTGGGGGCACTTTCTTTCCTTGTCTTTTCCCTCCTAGCACTGTGGATCCAAGGCATTACCATTTTACCCTCTAGGCTCATAGTGCCCTGTAGGGATCTAATATCTTTCCTTTGAGGTGAAGGGCAATGTTATCACATCCCAATATTAACAATATACACCCTAAAAACAAATATTTGCTAATAAGACGTTTATAGTTTGGTCTCAATGTAAAGAAATGGTGAATTCAATTTTTATCTACAATATACTCAGTAGGTTTGTAAAAGGGTTTACAGTTTCTGATGGTGGACAAAAAACCTGGAGTGAGGAGTAGGATGATATGATGAGGAGGTAGGAGGTGAGTATATAGAGTTGTTATATCTTAGGAAGTGTGAAAGAAAAATCTAAAGTGGAAGTTTAGTAGCAGGAAAAGGGAGAGGTATTAATTTTGGGTAGACAAGTAAGTGGAAAGACGGTAAAGTATATAAAACAAGCACACATATATATCAAGAAAAAAATTAAATGTTAAAATAGCAGAAATTGGTGGGAAACAAAAGAATATACAACACAACTGTTAATATTCTATTCAGACATCCCAGTCCTGAAAATCCTAATTCATGCAAAGTACTTGGTTTCACATATGTTGGGGATGTGAGGGCGGGAGAAAGGAGAGGGAAAAAAAATTTTTTGAAGAAGACACAGGGCTTGTTTTGGTTGGAGATCAGTATCTTTCCTGCTTCCCTTCTCAGGTGGGGTTGTCTGTTGTTAGCTGGTATCTCCACCCTTAGGTTGGTGAAGGTAACCAGGGTGTCACTGTGCCAAGTTAGCAGCCACTGGGGAGAGGGGGCAATTAGAAACTGGGTACTTGGAAGATGGTGATGAAAGTGGCCCAAGATGGAGGCTCCTGCTTTCAGTGATGGGGTGTCAGGTCGGGTGGGGTGAGTTGAGTGATGGCATTGGATGATAAGTTGAGAGATGAACTTTATGGCTTGCAATGTGTGGCTGTTGGCTAACTTCAGTTCCCAGGTTCAGACAGGCAACTGCATGTAGGTGTCTATGTCCACTGCTACAGAGTCCCAATATGGCAGCAACCAGGAGAGCCTTGCATTGGTAGATGGGGGTTGACACAGGAGTGGCAGCCAGAATTCCTGAATATGGGGAGCTGCTAAGTATCCTGCATGGGAGTGGTGTCTGTGATTTCTGCTTGGGTGGGTGGCTGAAAGTTCTGCGCAGGTTTTGATGGTCCTACTCAGGTACCTGGTAGTCCTGCATAGGTGAGTAGTTGGGAGACCTATTCTGACACTGAGGCCTGAAGCCCTAGACAGCCCAGAGGCCATAATTCCTGCTCAGGAGAAGGAATATTGCTCACAGAGAAGCAATATTCTCACTTCTTGACTCCCAAGTCACATAACGACACAGAATACTGCCTCCCTCTGGCCCACCACCTTGGATCCCCACCACCTTTTTCTCCCTCCAATCTTTTTTTAATATCTAGTAAAACAAAATTTCCATTAACGACTTAAGCGTAATCCCTTTTCCAGGTCCACACCCACCACCACCTCTACTCACTTGTCTAGAATCTTCCAGGGCTCAACTCAGTATGTGGCTCTTCTTCACTTACCTCCCTGGAGCTGCCTTTGGGTAATGTCCCAGAGTCATCTTGTCACTAGTTTCCTTCACTCAGACACTAGAATCTTCAGCCCACTCTTCTATTTTTTTTACTTTTCTGCCCTTTTCTTGGAGAGAAAGTTGAACATAGAGATTATGAACACAGGTTCTACCTAAGTCCAGTTTCCCCACTTATGAGCCCTGATTCCATGGGCAAGTGACCCCTCTTTGGCTCGATTTCCTAATCTCTATTTAAGTATGATTATTGTACCTACCTTATAGTAATGTGCAAGAATTAATAATTCTAATTTAAATAAAATGTTTAGAACCATTTCTGACACATGTAGTAAGTGTTCAATAAATATAAACTATCATAATACTAAAAAAAAAACTTTGTATCTGCATTTCAAATATAGGCAGTTGGTTTGGTGAAAAGAGCCTGAACTTTTGAATGTGACTTTGGTTTAACTTTTAAGTCCATCTCATATTACCCTGGCATTTCATACTCAACATGTGTAAAACCATTCCCAGTCTCCATCCATTGCACCTTCTCCACAATCAAGATGCCCTGCCCTCATGCTCCCTACTCCAGTGACTGGTGAGACTATCTAAGCCTCACCCATGACAGAATATCTAACATCTAACCATGATGAACATCTAACATCTAACCCCCATATTCCAAACAGAAGGCGGCATGGTCTCTGTGGCCTCTGCCTTTACAACCTTCTCTTGCATCATTCCTGGCCATCATTCAAGACTCAGCTCATGAACCTTACTCTAATGAAATAAAACAGGCACAGAGAGACAAATACCACATGTTCTCACTTTCATGTAGAATCTAATGTAATAAAACTTACAGAAGCAGGAGTAGAATAGCTAGGAGAAATGGAAGGGGGAAGGTGGTCAAAGGAAATGAAGCCTCAGGAGGAATAAGATATTTTTAGATCTTTTGTTAATAATAGTGTATTATACATTTCAAAAACTGCATAAATTTCAAGTGTTTTCACCACAAAAAAAATGGTCTTTGAGGTGATAGATATGTTAATTTAATTGCCTCACATTGTATTCATAAACCATATTACTCTGTACCTCATAAGTATATTGAACAATGATTTGTCAATTAAAAATATTTGTTTAATTAAGCTCATGCTTTCTACCTTTTTGTGGTCTTTTTTTAGCAACACCACCCCCTTTCTATATTAAACTCCCATTCTTTGTAGTTTTATAGGCCTATGGGATTTCCCTGTCTTTCCTGTCATTATGATATTATAATTTCATATCTCTTTCTAGCTTACAAGTTCCATAAGAACAGAGTCATTTGTTTCTATCTCTTTCTGAGTTCCCAGAACTTAGCATCCTCCCACCAATTGATGTTCAATAAATACATCTGCAGTGAATGAATATATAAGGAATGAATGAAGGGATGGAGAAACTTTGGTAAAATAATGATTTAAAGAGAGATTATTAATATCCTAGATATTCCTAAACAAGTCCCCATCAGTACCTAGCACAATTTGATTTTGAGGCTTTATCATACAAAGGAATAGATGTACAGCAATTAAAAAAGGAGCAAGCAAATTTATAGGTGCCAGGTTTTACCAAGCAGGGATCAGGCTTAGAGATAGCAAGAGCTACTACAATAACTCAAAGATCATATTAATCAAATCTTCATTAAGAACATAAGAATATACATTATTCCTGTGTCAGGTACAGTGGCACAACCTGTAATCCCAGTGGCTTACGAGGCCGAGGCAGAAGGATCGAAAGTTCAGAGCTAACCTCAGCAACTCAGTGTGACCCTAAGCAACTTAGTGAGACCCTGTCTCAAAATAAAAAACAAAAAGGGCTGGGGATGTGGCTCAGTTGTTGGCTGAGTGGTTATTTCAATCCCTCGTACCAAAAATTAAATAAATTATTCCTGTGAATAATTTATAAATTAATTTGTTGATAGGCTCTTTTAAAAATAAAATAATATGTAATACAGTATACCAGGCACTATTTTAAGAGCTTTATATATCATTACTCATTTTCATCTTTATTCATAACACCTGTATGATGTATGTTCTGTTATTATCATCATTTGACAGATGAAATTGAGCAGAGTAAGGTTGAGAACTTGCCCAAGGTTACACAGCAGTAAGAATTATTCTAACCCAGGATATCTGATGCCAGATATTCTCTTAACCATCTACCATACCACCCCTCAATGTTCATTTACCATTTGCTAAATAAACATCTTCTGAATGCCCATCAGGAATTTCCAGTGCTGGATACCAAAGACATAAATCTGAAGACTACTAGAACTAGTGTGGACCCTGCCTCCAAACATTTTGCAACTCATTGGGTACAATACCTTTCTGTAGGTGTTATGACATCTCTGTACACACAACTCTGGTGGAACAAAGGAAGAGAAAGCAACTTTACCTGGTTTTTGAGGAAGGGAAAATGATCAGACTTTCAAAGAGGAAGTAACTCATGACCTTGGTATAAAAGATAGGCAAGAGTTTGCCAAATGGACCAGCAAAGCAAGTGTGGAAACTTGCAGGTCTGTAGTGAAATTCCTCTTCCCAGATTCTCAATGGAACTGCTAGATATTTCCAATTCCAGGAGTTCTGAACCTGGGGTCTGAAAAGCAAGTGACTCACCTGAGATGGAGATTCAGCCAAGAGATTTTACTGGGGGGCTGCCTGAAGGAGAAGAAACGAAGAGACAGAAAGCAGAGAGAGGAAAGGAGGAGGGCAGAGAGAAAAGAGAGCAGAGGAAGAAGAGGAAGAGAAGGAGAGGAGAGAAAGAAGAGGAAGAGAGGAGAGAGAAAGAGGCAGAGAGGAGGAGGGCAGAGAAAGTGAGCTTGCAAGCTTCAGCTTAAGAAGGGTTGCATAGGCGATGTGGCAGGTGCTGATTGGTAGGGTGACTCAGAAACCTGGAGCAGACACTGTGTCCAGCGGGGATTGGTTGAGAAAACCTTTGAATTTGGTGCTCTTTGTCTTGGCGCCCTTTGGAGAGGAGGGGGAGGGGTAAGGGATTCGGTGATGTTCTCGCTAGACAGAAACTTAACTTCAGCGGGGAGTCTCCCACACACCCAATAGGGTCCAAAGAACCTCAAAAAGGTTTTAGATAGAACTGTACTTTAGTATATTTGGCTTCCTTTGTAACCCCTATCTTTCATTATATGCATTTTATAATGTTAATCTGAGCAGAATGCACAGGCTTCACTGTCAAAAGGAGTCTATGGCACAAAAAATGTTACCAACCCCTGAATCCTAGACTCACTGTACCAGGAATGTCTCTGCTACAGATATACTGGTCTTGATAACAAGTAGGATTGTACTGTATTGATAATGTTAAATTCTTGTCTTACAATAGATTAAGTGGACTCCAGAAAACCTGATGAATGACCCAACTGTATTTGTGGACTTCTTGGATATAAACAAGACTCTTAAAAAAAAAATCTATCAGAATACTAATGACTATGATAAACTTGCCAGCATACTTAAAGAATTCCAAATGAAGTTGGGTTCAACATCTTTGGAGGTAAAACATATACTACATAAAAATTTAAGGTTTGTTACATATGTAAATATTTGTATGCCCACACATATATATACATATCTATTATATCAAATTTTTAATCAGATTTCAAGGCAAACAAATAGAAATACAGTCTTATATTACTTCACCTTATTTTGTCTCAATAGTATATAATTTAAAGACATGGTATACAAGTAAGGCTGTAGAGTGTTGAGTGAACAGTCAATTAAGAGATGAAAAATCAAGTGTGACAGTAGGCTTCAGAGTAACAAGGAGCAGCAAAATGGTTGTGACTCTCTTGACATCTTTTGCATTGTTGTTGGCAGAGATGTGCTGAAACAGAGAAACAACAAAACCATCAGCACCATAAATCGGTTTCCTGAAACTATTCTTTCCACCACTTGCTCCACTTGCCAAGACAGAACAACAGAAAAGCAGCCTAGATACTATGGTTCTCTTCATTTTCTTGTCTCAGCCTGATGGCTGTTCAACACTGCTCACTAGAATATTAGTGTAGGAATGATCCTCATTGTGAAAATATACTTTTCCCAAATATGCATGTACACCAGCCAACTGGACCCAAATCACTGGATTACTAGAATAGTAATTTTGATTCCCATATTATTGTGTATAAAACCATAACACACATCTGATTTTCCACACTTATAATCAGTTTGTCACATTTCTTCTGCTAGATTCCTCATCCCATGGTGTTCTTTAAGGAAGCCATAGAACATGTCATAAGAGCTACAAGGGTCCTTCGACAACCAGGGAGTCATATGTTATTGGTATGAATTTAAATCTTTTAATTTTTGTTTTCTTTTTGGTACCAGGGATTGAACCCAGAGGCTCTAAACCACTGAGTTATATCCCCAGCACACACACCCTCCCTTATTTTTGAAACAAGATCTTGCTAAATTGCTTAGGGCCTTGCTAAGTGATTGAGACTGGCTTTGAAATTTTGGTCTTCCTGCTTCATCTTCCTGAACTGCTGGAATTACAGGCATGTGCCACAGCACTTGATTTTCAGTGTTTTTAAGTTTGCAAAATAAAAATTAAGAAACTTCAATAAAGTCATCTTTCTAGCTGAAGTTTAATGTACCCACTTTTGAAAAATCACAGTAATTAAGTCATAGAACAGGATCCTTTTCCTTGCTAGTTTGCTCAAGAAATTTGATATCACATATAAATGTTATTTGTTTTGGAAAGGTATTTGACATGAATAAAAATTAATGGATCTGGCACAGCTTCCAGTGTATCCCAGCATAGATATGGTATCTATGCAGGTGGATCCTGACATCAAAAATAGTACATTAACTTGACAGCCATTGTAGTACTTTGAGCTCCATAAAGACAGCACTGGGGCAAGTGAGAGCCAGATGGGCACTGGGTGACTCTGTGCTTGCTGAAGAAAAATAACTAAACATGGGCAAAGGAGATCCTAAGAAGCCAAGAGACAAAATGTCATTATATGCATTTTTTTGTGCAAACTTGCACAAGAGGAAGCATACAGATACTTCAGTCAACTTCTCCGAGTTTTCTAAGAAGTGCTCAGAGAGGTGGAAGATCATGTCGGCTAAAGAGAAAGGAAAATTTGAAGATATGGCAAAGGTGGACAAGGCCCATTATGAAAGAGAAATGAAAACCTATCTCCCTCCTAAAGGGGAAACAGGAGGCCAAGAGGCCTCCATCAGTCTTCGTCCTGTTCTGTTCTGAATATTGCTCCAAAGTCAATGGAGAACATCCTGGCCTATCCATTGGTGATGTTGCAAAGAAACTGGAAGAAGTGTGGAATAACACTGCTGCAGATGATAAGAAGGCTTATGAAAAGAAAGCTGCTAAGCTGCAGGAAAAATACAAAAAGGATATTGCTGCCTGCTGAGCTAAAGGAAAACCTGATGCAGCAAAAAAGGGAGTTGTCAAGGCTGAAAAAAATCAAGAAAAAGAAGGAAGAGGAGGAAGATGAGGAAGATGAAGATGATGATGATGATGAGTAAGTTGGTTCTAGAGCAGGTTTTTTTCCTTGTCTATAAAGCATTTAACCCCCCTGTACACAACTCACTCCTTTTAAAGAAAAAAAAATTGAAATGTAAGGCTGTGTAAGATTTGTTTTTAAACTGTACAGTGTCTTTTTTTTTTTTTTGTATAGTTTACACACTATTGAATGTGTCTTTAGAGAGCCTTGTCCTGGTGGTATTTTCAATAGCCACTAACTTTGCCTGGTACAGTACAGGGGTTGTAAATTGGCATGGAAATTTAAAGCAGGTTCTTCTTGGTGCACAGCAAAAATTAGTTATATATGGGGATGGTAGTTTTTCATCTTCAGTTGTCTCTGATGCAGCTTATATGAAATAATTGTTGTTGTGTTAACTGAATAACACAGTGTAATTGCAAAAATTTTTTTTAAAAAGTTGCAGCTGTTTTGTTGACATTCTGAATGCTTCTAAGTAAATACAATTTTTTATTTTTAAAAAAGTACATTAATTTAAATATTGACTTAGAAACATGAGGCTTTGCACAAAATTTTGCTTCTCATGAGAACATATGGGAGCTAAATTCTTAGAAAACTCCTAAATACTTCAAATAGAGAAAAAGTTTTGGAGAGATAAATAAATCTAACATATATAGCCAATTATAAAAATCATATTGTTTATAACAGTTTAAGTTATTATTTATGCCTATTTTTTTATACTTTATTTATAACTATTTAGTTCCTTAGATATGTCTTTTTTTTCTAAGGACTTGTTCTTACATTCAGAACAGCTAAAGCTTTATTTAAACACTCCTTTATTTAAATAAACATTTACAGGAAGATTATATAAAATTAATTCAAAATTAGAAAATTGAAATAAGAAAAAAATACAAAGTAATTTTTCTCTACCACCAAAGCTATTCTTCACTAACTGATCCCATCTGTAAATGGAATCACCACATCTCTTCAGCTATATCCAGAAAACTGAGTCATTCGATCTTGTGGCTTTTCCATCACTCCACATTCATCAATAAATCCTAGCAATACAATTTTCTAATGTATCTCAAGTCTGCCTACTTTGCTACATCTTCACAACTACAGCCCTTTTTAAGATGTCATCATCTTCACCTGGACCAAGCAACAGTATTTTCTGATTCTCTTACTTAAAGTATCATGCCCCTTTCCTCAGCCTGGGCCACTTTATCCCCTTATTCTGCTTTGATTCATTCCAATTCTTCATATTATCTGAGCTTAAATTGCATATTAATTTTATTTATTATCTGTCTTAATATTTATAACACAAGTTCTAAAAGGGCTGATTTTTTCCCTCTGATTTCAATTATTAACATTATTTTTCTATTCCCAAAGGGTATATATTCTTGATTTACTTCTTTTGCAACAAAGTGACCCGTTTTTTTTTTAGCAAATCAATTGTTTTCTAATAAGTACATTTAAGGAAAGTCCTCAATTGTTAAATCCTAAGAATGTTTTCAGAGTAATTTTTTTAAAGCCTACACTCACCTGGAAAGTTGAATTCTTAAAAATTCCTATATCATCATTCTCCTGAACCCATCTGTACTGTCAAGAGCCATTACTGAAAATACAAAAATTTTTTTAAAAAGACAAATTCCTACTTCTCCTGATCCTATTACTATTTTTTATATTTATTTTTTATTTGTAGTTGGACACAATATCTTTATTTTATTTATTTATTTTTATGTGGTGCTAAGGATCAAACCCAGAGCCTTGCTCATGCTAGGCAAGCACTCTACCAGTGAGCCACAACCCCAGTCTGTGACCCTATTACTATTTTGTCTACATAAGCATCCAAGATAGATTTTTGTCCTGGATCAAAGTAACACAGGGGTTCAATTTTGCAAAGCAGTAATTTTAATTTTGGAGGTTGAACGAGCAACTGGGACTTCTGCAGGAAGGAGCAACTGGAAGAAGCATAATGATTTAATAAAGAACCTGCAGGATATTAAAAATAATGAGCCAGTTGGTTCCACAGTCTAGCTATTGTGAATTGTGCCACTATGATCATTGATGTGGCAGTATCCCTATAGTCTACTCTTTTAAGATCCTCAGGGAATAGTCCGAGGAGGGCGATAGCTGGGTCAAATGGTGGATCCATTCCCAGCTTTCCCAGGTATCTCCATACTGCTTTCCAAATTGGCCTTACCAATTTGCAGTCCCACCAGCAGTGTACAAGTGTACCCTTTTCCCCACATCCTCGCCAACACTTATTGTTGTTTGACTTCATAATGGCTGCCAATCTTACTGGAGTGAGATGGTATCTTAGGGTGGTTTTGATTTGCATTTCTCCGACTGCTAGAGATGGTGAGCATTTTTTCATGTACTTGTTGATTGATTGCTTCTGTGCAGAAATCACAATCACCATGCCCGTCTAGGGCTCCAGGCCTCAGCATCAGAGTAGGTCTCGCAACTACTCATCTACACAGTACTACTGGGTACCCAAGCAGGACCATTGGCAACAGCACCTGCCCAGAACTTTTGGCCACCTACCCGAGCAGAAATCACAGATGTCACTCCCACATAGGACACCCAGCAGCTTTCCACACGCGAGAACTCCTGCCACCACTCCTGTGTCAACCCCCAGCTACCAATATGAGACTTCCCTGCTCGCCACCATCTTAGGACTCAGCAGCAGCGGAGATAATCCTCTACACGCAGTAGCCTGCCTGCACCTGAGAACCTCACACAGGCTCTGAAGTCAGTCAACAGCCACACACTGCATGCCACAAAACTCATCTCTGAACTCACTGACCAAAGCCATCTCTCTGCTCCTGCTACACCACCCTACAGCCCACTGCTGAAAGCAGGTGCCTCCATCTTGAGCCATCTTCATCACCAGCTTCAGTGGGGGGCAACTCCCAGTTTGGAACTCCAGCTGGCCAGGTACCCAGTTTCTAACTCCCATCTCTCCCCAGCTTTCACCACTCCAGTACAGTGACATCCTGGTTACCTTCATCATCCTGAGGGTGGAGATACCAGCTAACAACAGATGACCCCACATATTGGATGAGAAGAAAGCAGGAAAGATATGGATTTCCAACCAAATCAATCCAAACATGAAGAGTGAATTTGAAAACCAAATCCAAGAGGCTTATAGGACGCCAAATGTACAAAATCACAACAGATCCACACCAAGGCACATTATAATGAAAATGCCTAACATACAGAATAAGGAAAGAATATTAAAAGTCATGAGAGAAAGAAATCAGATTAATGTAGGGGGAAAACAATTAGATTATGTGCAGATTTTTCAACCTATATCCTGAAAGCTAGAAGATCCTGGAACAACATATATCAAGCTCTGAAAGAAAATAGATGCCAACCAAAAATCTTATAGCCAGCAAAATTAAGCTTTAGATTTGATAATGAAATTAAAACCTTCCATGATAAACAAAAGTTAAAAGATTTTACAACTCAAAAGCCTGAACTACAGAACATCCTCTGCAAAATATTCCATGAAGAGGAATTGAAAAACAACAATGAAAATCAGCAAAGGGAGGTATTACACTAAAGGAAAAACTAATCAAAGGAGAAACCAAGTCAAGTTAAATACCAAAAATAAATAAAAATGATTGGGAATACAAATCATGATTCAATAATAACCCTGAATGTTAATGGCCTAAACTCAACAATCAAAAGACTGGCAGACTGGATTTAAAAAAGACCCAACAATATGCTACTTCCAAGAGACTCATCTCATAGGAAAAGACATCCACACACTGGGTGAAAGGTTGGGGAAAAATCATACCACTCTTATGGACTGCGGAAGCAAATAAAAAG